GCTGAAGAGATCGTGCGGATGGCCGCAGAAGAGCAACTGCTACGTGAACGTGTGCAGGCAGAAGAAGCACGGCGACGGATGGAGGAGGGGTGCCGGCACTTGATGGTCGCAGCCTTGTTCTAGGCAGGTTTTTATGGCACTCCGTGGATCTCTTGTGGTTTGAGCCTAAAAAGAATCATTTAAGTCATCGGGCCACCTGCGACCAGCCGTGTTCAGCGGCAGGCTGAAATTCGACATTTCTAGGACTGGTTGATGTTCTTGGTTCGGCATATTGTATTTTGTGAAGATTTGCGATGGAGTGGGCAGGATCTGAAAAGAGAAGAGGAAAGACGTGAAGTGGAAAAGAGCACTCGGATGGCTGCCGAGGAGCAGCGGCAGAAAGACGTTTCTGAGGAGAGAGAGAGAGAGAGAGTCTTTTGTCTTGACAAGTTTGGACTGGCGGGCTCCTTCATGTCTGGTAATCTTGCCAGGACCGGCTGCGATGCTCTGTATACGAACATAGCTCAGAATCATTGGATCTCGCCCCAGACCGAAATCGAATGGAGCAGATATCGGAACAACAACGGAACAGATGCTCAAAGTAGCAAAGTTCGTGGTTCCCGAGCAGGCGGAGCTGCAGACGGCAAGCCACGAACACTGCGACCAGGCCGGGCCTCTTTGCCTGACTAGAGAACCTGATTCATCCTGGGCCCCGTGCAGATCCGTGCAGGCAGGACCGAGTGATGCCGGAGCACACTGGAGGGCCGTCAGGCATGAGATGCTACGACGGGCGGGTTGACGGTTTGCATGCTCGCTTTTTTCCGCTTGAGGTTCAGCACATTCAAAAGACGCCAATTTCTCAACAGCCCCGCCCCGGAAAGTAGAATCGCCCGAACCGTCCGCACCGCATTCGGACCTCGCCTAGCATGCTCGAGAGACTTGCGATTTTAACACTCGTCCTCCGGCTTGTTGCTGCTTGTTCGGTTGCACGAGTGGGGCATTTGCACTTGTAAGCGACAGCCTCCATCACATACACCACCGCCACCGCCACTATCTCACCATCGCCACCAAGAATCACTACGCTTACAAGCAGTTTAGTTGGATTCAGTACGGAGTTCCATTCGACTTAGTCCGTTCTGTTCCCGCATGCACGGAGGTCGCATGTGGCCGACCAAGTCACTGTCAAGGAGATGGCTGAGATCCTTGGCCGAATTTTCAACGGACAGAGGCTCATGTTGGAGCTGCAACGAAGCGCCAGGTGCAACCCTAAGCCGGTAAAGCCTCTCAAGCTCAGGCTGGAGCTGAACCTTGTTGATCAGAGGCGCCGAACTGCAGGGCAGAGGCTTCAAGGAAGGGCTATGAGGGGCTCGGACTCTAGCGCCTCAACCGACTCCCCTATAGGGCCGACCACGCTTGGAGTTGGTTTGCCGGCGCCTGCGGTTACCTCCTGAGTGGAGCTGAAATCGCGAGGCAGAAGCTCCAGGAGACTGTGGCACGCTTCGAGCAGTCAGCAGCCAGTGAAGACACGGACGAGAGCACTATGCTGCACAAGGCCGGTAAAGGCGGAATAAGTACATCAAAGCAGTTTCCAATTGGTATTCTGGAAGCATGATTACCCGGCGTACTGTAGTTCGCCATTTTCGTCCAGACTATGTGGGCTACACCAGAGTCGGGAAGAATGTCTTTGCGTGGAGCTGTGAAAGGCCACAAAAATAGTTTTTCATTGGCCATTAGAGCTTTCGGGTTTCATTAGTCCTCATGAATTTCAGAGACTGATCCGAAGCCCCGTCATCCAAGCTTTGCCGTTGTGTACTCCAGTACGTGACAAGACCAGAACCGGAAAAACAGAATCAACATGTCGAAATGGATACGTAACGATGCGTATATACATACGTAATGCACACACATACACGCACAGATAAAAATGATAAAAACAAATAGACAAACAAATTGGTGGATTCGATGTGTGTGCGTGTATACAGGTAGAGGCAGAAACAGCTATGGGCTATAGATAGATCCAGATAGGGAGTATCGAAGCTTCACGGCCGGCTTGTGTTTCAGGCCTGCCGCAGTGGAGATGCTGCGGCTACCGCAGCCATCCTCGCCCTTACAAGCGGGGCAGGACATAGGTGTAGAACAATGCTGTGACATTGAGCGTAGCAGCGAGCTAGATGGAGCCGCAACAAGAGTCCCATATCCTGAGCAGCTGGAAATCTCCAGCCCGCATCATGAAAGCCGGCTGTATTTTGTCGATTTGGGACAAGATCCTGGTGGCATTTGCAAATACTTCCAGTCGTTCAGTTCGATGCACAAGCGCTAAGCTGGATGAAGTGCCAACTCAGTGCATGTCTTCCTCGCCAGGACAGATGTCTCGTGACGGTCAGGGCTTGTTGCCAGCGGCGGTGGGCCCCAGCTCTTCCGTGTCGAATGGTGTCGGGGGTTTATGGTTCAGTTTCGGCTGGTACTTTTGCACCAGCGTCCAAGAGCTTGAGGCTTGGAGATTGAAGCTCGCAGAGCGTCGGTTGTGCCTGTAGATGTGGGTGTCGTGTGGTTCAGGATTTGTGTAAGCCGGTCTGCAGACGTTTGCCGCCGATCGAGCTCAAACAAGCTGGGTTGAGAGCCTCGTCGCAAGGACCTGGCGATTCTGCACGGCCATCCTGCAGCAGCAGCTGCGGCCCTCCGTGGCATGCGAAGCGCTCAGAGCAAAGCGGAAAGGGCCTAAGGGGGGGCTGTGGATGCCGTGCTGAAAAATGAGGCCGCTCGGGGAGCTGAACACATTGTCCTTGCTGCTGCTGCCGCTGCTGCTCCCGACCGGAGCACGCGCCGCGCCGGAGCAGGCCGGAGCGCGGCGTGAGTCGCGGCTTAAGGGGATGGGTCAGGCGTGTTCTCTGGGGTCTTTTTGTCACTTGTTGAGGCCTCCCTGGAAGCAGGGCTTCGAGCTGCCTCCGCCACCGGCCGCGAGGCGGGGCCGCGGGGAGCGGAGCGTCGCGCTGGGTTCCTGCAGTTTGCTTTCCGCCGCTGGCTTCAGGCAGCTGTTCGGCTCCTTCTGGAGTCTCGCGCTTCCGTGAACGCGGCCCAGGCTGCCCGAGCCGAAATGCTGATAGCGGAGGTACTCGTTGGCCGTGTCACCTAGCAGACCCAGCAGACCTAGCATAACGCTGCAAAGTTGGCTCACCTTGGAGGAGGATGGTGCTACTGCCTTGTTGCTCGTTGGAGGCTTAGTCGCAGTCTGCAGCTGGTCCCATCAGCAGGTTCACAACGTTTCGCTTCAACTCATTCCTGGTCTGCTTCGCGACAAGTTCAGCCATGCTTGAGGCAACAAAGACTCCTGGCCAAGGCCTGCCGCCCTGGCCACTGCGATGTGCTGACAGCCCTGCTGGCCGCCCGCGCAGACACCAACAGGCCCGCGCCTAGCCTGTCTGTCGCGGCTTCCCGTGCCCCACGCTTGTGGCGGGGCATGCGGGGGCCACTGCCCAAGTTTTTCTTGGCTGTCGACCTTCGGCAGAATTTGAAGCGCCGAAGGCCGGAGGATGCCAGTCTGTCAAGGACATGGGCCGAAATTCAGCAAACACAGAGATTTCATAGGGCCTGTGGGCTCGTGCAACTGCGGCGGCCATGCAATCGCTGGTTTGCAGAGCTGTTCGGCTATCGGGGGGTCTCCTAACGGGGCTAAATATGCATGCGAAATCTGCGGCACGCACGCCGAGTCTGGCGCAAGTGTCACGAGTTTGTAATCCTGCGGGGCTTGGGTATCTAGATTAGGATTAGGGTTTCCGGCTTGGGGTTGGTGCAGTGATAACAGTTCGAGGATATAGCAAGATCTTCCGGGTTTAGCGATTTAAGGGTTTCGAGCTTTTAGGTTTAGGGTATAGGGACACATCAGACGACCTGCCCGCACGTGCGCCAGGGCCTGACACGGGCAGCTTCGGGGATGTAGAATCCATGCAGGTGACATGGCCTGTGTGCCGCGTGCTCTAAAGTCGTGTAAGCAGTCATTTTCTTGTAGCGGCTGTGTCGGTCCATTGGGTGGCGACTAAGGCAGGTGGAAATCTATACTGAGGGCGATCTGAGGGCCCGATGGCACAAGCGACCAGTCATGTCCCTTGCAGGGTGGCAGCCAGTGGGCGCGCTCCCCTGCATGCCGCCGGGAGCCCGGACAGCTTTCTGTAAGAAACCGCCACTGCGTCTACATGAACCTACCTCCTCTATGATTCTCCTTGCACTGTTTGTATTGACCAAATTTGAGCCGTGGACGTGCATCGGCATGGATATAAGTGTGAAGGCATAGACCGGATGTGCACGTGCTTTGCAGAATCCCCGAAGCCAGGCTGCGGAGACAGGCAGAACTGAGATGGTGGGGTCCTGAGATCTGAAGACATGCCTTGGCGACGCTGACGATGGAGCGTGGTAGCTAAAGTCTGCACAGCCTGAACTGATCTCTCATGTGGCCCTGCCTCACTTGAACAGAGTGTGCGAATGCTGAGGTGAGACTGCTACTGCAGAGTCGGGCCAACGCAGAGGTGGGAGTGCGCGATGTGCACGACATGCGCAATCTGCTTCCTGCCCCGTCGTCGAGGTTTCAGGTGGAGGTTTGGATGGGAAGGGAGCCGCAAAGTGTTGTGCAGAGGCTTTGACGACGAAGAGCGCGAGCAGCCCGCTTGCTTTAGCAGCGCGTGCGGGCCATTTAGACTGTGTGCAGGAGCGGCCAGGAGCTGGGAAAGCAGACTCGGGTGCTGTGCTTTGTTGAGAGCTGCAGGAGCTCCTTGCAGCCCGTACCGACCCGACTGGTGCCCATAGGGCTGCACAGGGCTCGCCCGCCTGGCCACCACTTCTGGCGGCCGCGCAGCCGGGGACCCCACTTGCATCATCCACACAGAGGCTGTCCTGTGTAGATGTCAGCGTCTGGTTTGTATTTCCTCTTCGGGGATCCTCCTTGCACTGGTTCAAGTTTACTCACCACTTCAAGCATGCAGCGCCTCAGCATTCCGACCATCTCCACATTGGGCGTCTTGTCCCAACTGATTATGCAGAACCGTACGATCCGCACTGGAATATTCACGGGGGCTCTGGCATGCAGTGCATACGGAGGGGGCGATTGCTGGGTTGAAAGCAGATGAAACCTGAGTCGGTCGGAGAGTCGCAGCTTTGACAGGTTCAAGCTCTGGGTTTTTGCATCCGGCGCCTGCATGACTGCACAGACCACAACGAGACAAAACAGAAGACCAACCGCCCCTCTGGCAACCCTTGCTATAGTCATCGTCGCCACAGCATCGGCAACCTCAGCAGCACACTGGCCGCCATCATCCACCCAGTCCCCAGCGAGCTCTCGGGATGCAGCCCTTTTTGTCGCGTCAGCGCCATGTCGTGCCTCACTGGACTCTCGTGGTGCTCGGTGTGGCCTTCTTCGGCCTGCAAAGCATCACCTTTGCTGTGTCTGCACGCATGGCGGCACCAAAGGCCCACACCCCAACACAACCTGCAATCTTATCTGCCTCTCTGACAGACTGGCTTTCTCCAGCAAGCCTTCAGTATCAAGGCCTTCTCCTCGCAAGGCGGCCTTTTTGGTCCGATTGCCAAGCCGACGTGGATCGGGATGTCGAGTGGCAGAGAATGACTGTCTCTAGCTTCCGCGGGTGCCAGGGCTTCGGCGACTTCAATGTCGTGGCAGAGGAGCTGCTCAGCAAAGCGGCACTGCCAAAAGACGTTTCTTCGGCTGTCCAAGCTGACATCTGCAAGGTCGGCGCAGTAGTTGGCCGCCTCTGCCCTTGGAGTCGGAAGCTGGATGTTAAGCTTGAGCGCATCGGAGAGAATAGTTGCCCCAGATGGCACTGTGACAACTACGCCGCGAGAGCTATCGTCTCGTACAACTCGGCTGCCACGCTTTACACACATGATGACAACGTCGATTTCTGGCAGCTGGAGCATGGTGGCATCAACGAGTGCATCATCAAGGATGCATCGAGATGCCGGTCTGTGAGAGTGGGGGACGTGCTGTTTATGAAGGGAAGGAAGTTCCCCTCCAGTCCCCGAGGCCTGGTCCACAGGTCCCCGGAGAAGCGGTACCGGAATGGAAAGGTTTTGCATCGCTTAGTCTTGAAAATTGATGTGCCCTGATCAAGAGGTTGTGCTCTCTATGAGTGGGCCTGTGTGGATAGCCGTGGGATACGCATAGCTTCCCTGGGCCGCTTACCGTGGGGTGGATTTTTTTTGCGTTCAAAGAAGCGCATCTTTGTTCAGGCTCTGCCGGAGGCCCAGGCCCAATGCCCGTAGCATTGTGGGCCTGCCGAGCAGTTTTTTTGTGCTTAGATCTTCCTTCGGCCTGGTCCGACGAAGAGTGCAGGGAATTTAGGCTGGGAGTGGTTTTGCAATCAGGCGGAATGGCTCGAATCACGGGTTGTTCTGCATGGAAGAAAGCATCAGTAAGGCACGGCAGGGACGACGTGGTTGCACTGCTGCTGGATGCAAGAGCTTCCCCGAGCGTGACGTCGTCTGCACGGAGCCCAGCTGCAGCATGTTGACGTGATGCGTCCGGCAAGTCTAGCTCATCCAAACACGTGAAATCAAAGATGGTTTCTCGAAGCAGCCCTTCTTATGCCATGCCTCATTCCACCAAGTCCCCGCTGCACGAAGCTGCTCGGCGCGGCCATGCGCAGACAGCCCGACTTCTGTGCTGTGCTGAGCCTGTCAAACCACTACCGTCGGCAGCGCAGGGCAGGCTGCAATGACATGCTGAACAGGGGGCTAAGGCTAAGGGCACATGAGATGCCATTGTGGGACTGCTTCTGGCCATAATGCTGGCGCTTCGGACGAGGCTGTCACGTGGTGCCGAGTTAGAGGCGCGCAATGACCAGGGCGCTCGGAGTCCCGGGCAACCGAGAGTGCTTCGTGAGCTCCTTCTGGCCTTCCACACATCATGACATGTAGCTTTAGCTGCATTCTTGGCCTGCATCCTTGGCTTGCTGGCGGATTCGGTTCTGTAGCATGGAGCCTCGTGGCCCGCCTTTTGTTTTCCGTCGAGGACACAAGCCCAAATCACTTTCAGCAGCCCAGACAAACCCTCTGCGCGGTCCCTGAGGCTACGGCTTTGCACCTCGCTGCGCAACAGGGTCGAGCAGAGGCGGCCTGAACACGCTGCTGGAAAGTAGCATTTACCGTAAGGCCGTAGGGTTCTTTGGCAAAAGTCCTGGCCTATATTATTGCTGGTAATTCCGAGCATTGCCGGGATGCTGTCATGCGTACTTTCGGGTCCAGTGTCATTTCGTGGCAACACGGCATCGCTGCGCATGGCTGGTGCCTGGAGTGGTCGGAGTTTGATGGGATGCTGCGCAGGTGGTGCAGCTTCTGCTGGACTGCGGGGCATCCTTAGGCACAGACCAAGTGTGTCTTCTCGCCATGCTGCAGGTATAGTAGACACCAGGCAGAATTCAAACCAGCACTTTGTTTCACAGGTTATCATTGTGCCATGAGGTAGCCGTGCATACACTGGAATCAGGAATGCATCGATTTCAACATGCTAATGTTGTTAAGTGGCCATTTCGGGCTAGTTGCCAGTCTACAGCTAAAGCATGCTCAAAACGTAGAGCCGCTACATCCATGCCCACCAGTCTCATTGCAGGCGCTTCTACGAGTGCTGGGGCAGTGGCCCTCCATGCTGCAGTGGCCTGCGCAGCACATAGGTTCCAAACACTTCCAAAACGCCGCCCCCCCGACTTCCTGAGGTTCAACTCCAACACCTGGAAGTCGCCAAGCTGCTGCTGGATGCCCGAGCCGATCCGGAGCACCCAGCACGTAGAGGCGACCATGGGCAAGCAAGGTTCAGCCGCATCGCCTCGTCAGGAGCAAGCGGTGGCTAGTGACGGCAGTGGTGGCGGCTGCCGTTGCCTGCATCTCGCAGCCCAGCAGGCGCTGCGATGCGCCGGTACGCGTCTTGAGAATGTTTCCCTTTTGCAGGGCTTCTACGACTGTATCCAGCTTCTGGTGTCGGCCCGTGCCAACCCGAGCGCAGAGATGCGCAGGGGCCTTGGCCGGGTGCAAGCAATCTTCGAGTATGAGAAATGGAATGCTCAACTTCTCCTGCACGACTGCATCTCACGCCAAGGTGGAGGTTTTGCGCCTTTGGCCCTGGCAGCGCGCTCTGGGCATGCTGAGTGCAGCGGGCCCGGAGTTTGAAGAGCGGGAGGAGTGGGGTTCCACGCCGCCGACAGACGTCACAGAGAGAGACGGAGAGAGATGCTCCCGCATTAGTCCCAGGTTGCAGTTCAGTTTCTCGTTCCGGTCAGTCGAGGGGGGAGCAGTGACATGTACAAACCAGCCGAACCACACCAGCCTGCAGCCAGTCCGGTTCTCGTGTAAGCTACGTGCTTTGTGGTTGGCCAGAGCCTTACTTGTTTTGGTGTTGCGTTGCAGCAGAGTGTGAGAGGGGATGCGGTCCTGTAGTAGTTGTGAAGTCATCTTACGGGGGATCGCGTTCCTGGCTGAATGTACAGCCGAGCCTTCAGGGGGGTTAAACCCGTGAAGGGACCTATCCGCGCAATGAACCGCGGGAGTGCGCGTGCGCACGAAGGGGGTAGTTGGACGCTGCTGCCTTCTTCTGGCCCTCTAGACAGAGAGAGGGAGTGTTCGCGGTGTTGCTGATACCAAAGGTGGAAACTATTGTAGCACAGCCAGTGAGCCCGGTACTTGTAACGTGTTTGTGTTCTTTCTTGTTGAAATGGGGGAATGTCAACCTGCCGTAAAGTACTGCTGAGGGGGGGAACTGCCGTCGAGTGACTAAGGATAGGCCTTAGAGGGCGCGGGGACGAGGCCGAGGTGCGGGCTAAAGTACAGGGCCAGGGTCGGTTCCACGATGGCAGTCCCCTTGCACGGCTTTCCAAGCGACGGGAGAAAAATGCCCCTACCACTGACGCCAAAGCCTTTACCCTCATAGTCCAGAGAGGGTGGGGGGTGCCTAACGGCACGGGTCTGCAAACCAGACCTGCGCCCAAAGGAAGACTAGGATCAGACGCCGCAGCGCGGGGGCGGAGTTTGCTTTTTTGCTCTTAGGTTTTGGGAAACAACAAACGTAGCGTCGCTAAGGCTGTCGATTGCTTCTGGACCTTTCCAGGGCACAAGGCGCAACCGTGTGGTGCGCTCTTGTTTTTCCTGCCCACCCTGACCCTGGACAGATTGAGAGAAGCTAACTGCAGGAGCGGTGCGACAGACCTTTCGGCAGGTGAACTGAAGGCTGTCGATGCCCCAACTGCCACGGGCTGGACACCACTGCTGCTGGCGGCGAAGGTCAGACCACATACAGCCAACTTCTAGGTTCTAGCTCAAGTAGCCAAGCGAAATCGCGAAGTCGCGATCCCCGAAGAAGTCTTGGTCCTCAGGAAATGTTTGTCGTCAGCGAATGAGTTGAAGCCAGGCCGGGCATGTGGCAGCCGTGAGGCACCCTCTTCTCTTGCTTGCCGTGGCAAACCACCAGTGACTCCTGGCAGTTCTTGCTGAGCAATTTGCTTTTGGGGATGGCGAGACTGGCCGTCGTCGTGCCGCTGCATTGGAGTCTGAGTAGCCGTTGCCATGCCAAAAGCAACGAATGGCATGTGCTGGGATGAGAACAGAGCAGAACAAGCCTGAAAAAAGAGCGGACGAGGATGGAAGAAGCTTCCCCTTGTGCTCTTTGGAAGGCAACTCTTGGACTCTGGAGCCTCGGTGAATCTCCCGAGCCGTCGCGGCCGCACTCCGCTGATGGTCCGCTTGGGGGCTCTGCAGCGGGTGTCGACTTTGCTTTCTGTCAGGTTTCGGGTGACAAGGGGCAAGTGTTTAGTGATCCTTCTCTCGAACTGACAGAAGTTTGCGCAAGGGATGGAGCTTTGCACGCACGACCACGGGGCTACGATTTTTTCAAGAAGCCGACAAAGAACCGAAAGCATTCCAAAGCTTTGCCTGCGCAGGTGGCAGTGGAGGCCTGTCAGGTGGAAGTGGCCGAGGTCCTGCTTCAGTTCGGGGCAGCGCTGTCGCCGACGCTGTGCGGGCCTTTGGGGTTGCTGATGTGGAACTGCCATCATGGCGTTCCTTATGCTACACGAGACACTGCGCTCGAGTCCTCCAGCTACTAGGTCGAAAGTGTCACAGAACGGACAAGGCACTGAGACCAGTGGACAGGTTCGCTTGTGTGCCATCTCAAGCCTCCGTAGCAGGCACAGCGTTCAGTGAACAGTGTTCTACGACGTTTCTACGGCTGGTACCAGTCGTGCTTGCAAGTCCGGATTCTGTTTGCCCGTGCGTTGGATATTGGGGCATGCCGCCGGTAGCAGCCTGAGGCCCGGCGGGTGGACTGTTCTGCACCTGGCCTGCCACGTGCCTGGCAATCGGACGGTGGCTGCCTCGTCCCCTTCGTGACATGTTTCATTCAGTCGTGGCCTGGTAAGAACGCGATCCCAGGTTCCCCGAGGCCTTCTCTGAGATTGTAGGGTCTGGCATGATGATTCGTTCCACTGACACCCATGCTGGCCCTAGATCGTTGGAGAGGAGGAGCCCTTGACCACATCAGAATGTATGCTATGTTCGATCCCCAAATTCTGTACAGTCAGATGCCAAGCTATGTCCATCCCTTAGGCTTGCAACAGCACCTACCCGTAACTGCCACAAGCCCGTAAACCGCAATGGCATCCGTTATGGTCAAGGTGAACGCCCCTTAGGCTGTCCCACAGGTAGGTGCTGCATCTGCCGAGAAGCAGTCACTTAGTAGCTCAGTGGCTCTCCTCCTCCGTGTAAGGCATATGCAGAAGCCAAGATTTGCCATTCACTATGTTCCACTCGTCCCAGACGATTCAACAACTTCTGCGTGCCCGTGCAGATGCCAATGCGCTGACAGAGGAGGCCTGTCGTCTGACCCTGTTCAGTCCAAGAAGCCCATATTAATCTGGCTGTTTTTTCGTGGCCACGTGGCTGCAGCAAGCAAGCAGAAGCGGGAGGCAGGGAATCGACGGATGTGAGATAAGGCGAGGCCGTACGTAGTTTTCCCATGTATTCCCCTTGATGCGTGGATCCGGCCACCGAACTCGCACAGACACAGAGAGCATCCTGCCAGGGTTGGGCACCGCTACACCTTGCCGTGCAAAGCCGGGACGAGTCAAACGTGCAGACGTTGCTTGCGGCAGAGCCGCTTGAGCCTCTGAGTGCAGTCTGGGGTGACCAACTGAACAGCTCAGAAAATTGCAGGGTAAAGTTGCAAGATATTGTGCTCATGGCGTGCCCGAACGATTGAGAAGACTCTGAGACTGTCGTGGGACTCACGCTCCAGTTAAAGAGAGAAGTACTTTCGTTCTCGTCGTGAGGTCTCCTGCAGCTCTGGCAGACGTGCAGGCTTGTACCTGGTCTTGCGAAACCTGCGCTGCTCCGCTGGTGTTAATGCCGGGCACTTTCTCTTCCTTTGAAGGTCCCGCTGTCGCCGCTGCACGTCGCCGCGGAGGTGCGGGCGCCGTGCGCGATGTCTGCTTCGCCAGAGGGGCACCGTCCACCCGTCTCAGGCCGGATCTGTTGGGATCGTCCTGTTGCTCCTGCAGAGCAAGGTGGTCCCTGTGGATGCAGCCGGCCCCAGCTCCGACGTTTGTGGCAGCAGCTTGTAGACAGGCTGTGCACTGCGCGTGGCCTTTTCCAGAGTCCAGAGAGCAAGTCCCAATTCGTCCCAGAGTCAGACATGGGCCGGGGCTCCCGATCGCTGATGGCTTCAGGCAGTTGCAGAGCATGGGATCACCGCGCTACACTTGGCCGCTGGTGCTAGTCAGTCGGAAGGCCCATGGGCGCAGTTGTGTGTGTATCAGAGCTTCAGCTCAATCAACAGCTAGGAACTGGTGTCCTAGCTATGGTAATGCACGCTACTGTAAAAGCTGGCACAAAGACGGGCAAAAGCTGTTTCATCGAGCAGCACCAACACAGCAGACATGGTGATAACGAAGTCCGAAGTACGGTGCAGTGGGACGGACGCACCTTGACGAGGGGCGGATCTGCCAATCGCATCCGGGATGTCCGGTTTTCACAAGGGTCACAAGGTGACGTCAGCCGATGTAGTGCTTCATTGCATGTTCAAGCTGCCAGAGAAGACACGCTTCAATACTCGAAGCTCGATCAGCAAGGACCTCCCGGAAGTCCGACAGATCCGTCTGCAGCGGCGGCTGTGGCAGAGGTGCTTGGAATGTGCATTGTGGAGTTGCCTCCAGCCACTGGAACATGTCATTGAGTAACACAGCCGGGCTTCCCGATGTGTCATTCTATGCGGCATGCTGCTTATGTGCTGCCGTCCCATGATGCCGACGGATTCGTCAGTCGTTTGTTCGTGAGAGGTGTTGCTAAACCACGGAGCCACTGTGGATGCCGCAGCAGACCCAGGGACTTTGATGGTCGCATATTCAGCTCTGGGCAAGAATCGCGCATGCGGACCTGAGGCCATGGAGGGGGGTGTCACGCCTCTGATGGTGGCAGCTCGGGTTGGGCGAGAGGCCGTCGTTGGGGACTCGCTTCCGCAAACGGGAAGCCCACTAAGCAGGAAGTCCTCACACAAAGGTCCGCGTGCTGTTGTCCAGCGGTGCAGATGCTCTGCGACGGCTTCCCAGCTGGAGCCCGAGGCTGTCGCAGCCGGCCACAAGGTCACATGTTTGACCCTGCAACGCATTGTGCTGTCCATGTCCAGGAGGCTGTCGCAGTTCTGTAGGTTTGTAGGATTTTGTAGGCTGATCAAAAAAAAATGTCCCTCGCCGCGTCGCTGCGGTCCCTGGCGCCCCGCGGCCTCGGCCGCGCTGGCCTGCGAGGCTTCGCGGCCATG